ACTTCACTCTTTCCCTCAACAGCACAGTTGTCTGCAGATGGGAGGCAAATACCGGCAATGAGAAAACAGTCAAGAGAAGGAAAAAATCAAATGAAAAGTGATTTATATCAAACTGGATTTAAGCTGCTCTGTATACTCACCCTTCTCGGCAGATGCCAGACGCACCTCATAGCACCGCTTCCCATCTATTTCAGTCTTGAACAGACGGGTGTTGTAGGCACTCAGGTTCTACAAGGATGATTATTATTGGTAAACTAGTAGATTTGTGCAGAAATAGCTGCGGTCAGTAAAGGATACAACAAGATCATGGGTTCGATTTCCAGGGAACGCAAGAACTGATTAAATGTGTACCTTGAATGCAATGCAAGTCTCTTTGGATAAAAGTGTCTACCAAAATGCACAAATGTAAACGAATGAATAAGCTACAATATTGTTCAACTGGTTAAAATTAGTTAATGCATTAGCTAACATGAACAATAATGTTATAATACTTTTACAGTATTTATTAACCTATACTAATGTTCATTTATTAACACATAATTCATATTTGTTCATAGTACTCATGTTCATTTATACGACCTGAAATGTTAAAACACATATTAGTATATTTAGAAATTAACCTAGATTAATAAATGCTCTTGATGTATTCTTTATTGTTAGCTCAGAACATCTAATGGATTCATTAATGCTAACAAAATGAACGTTATTGTAAATTGTTATTGACATTTCTTCCAAATTAAGAATTCATTTTATGCACTTGGCAGATGCTTTTATTTAAAAGGTATTCAATGTTTGACATTTTCCCAATATGTGTGTTCCCAGGGATCAAAATACATGATAAAATAAAGTAAAAAAATATATAAAATAGTATATATATATATATATATCAAATTCTGTCAATGATAACAAAAGCAGGAATTTAATAAAAATATTTACATATATTTATATAAAAAAAATTATATATCTTACTTCTTAAATGTATATATATTACTATGTAACTTTATGTTAATACTTCATATAACTTAATTTATGTGGTAATAATAGGGGTGTAACAACATGCTCACGTCACAATTGTTTCAATACACGAGACTGATTTCACGACACAATACTCTCACTTTGAACAAAGCCAAAATAGAGCTAAAGTCATGCTAAGTCATTTCATTTACTACTTCTAACATATGGCAAACAGTTCAAACATACTGTTCACTAAAACTCTTAATTTGACATTAGATCAGGGAGAATTTGAATCGGCTTGGATTTAGTTGTTCTCCCCCATGAAGAGGCCAATGATGACACCAGAACAAAAATATTCATCATTCTGTTTAGCTAAAAATACAGTACCATGTAAGACACATATGGTTGAACATTAAAAAATATCTAAATATTGTATTTTATTTTTTATTTATTAATAATAATTAATAAACATGGAAGCTCAAATGTGTGACCTCCTGGGATGACCATATTTGATGCTAAATTAAATAATTTTCATTTTAACTTTGGGTGAACTATACATAATGCATAATGAAGCATTTTTGTATTGCGTTATATTGTGACATGACACCCCTAGTTAATATTGAAAAAAAATTTATAACATTCTATATGTGCGGATTCCGCTGTGCCAAACCCTGATGGGAGCAGCAAAAGCAGAGAGAGAGATAATATTGTATTTGTGTCATTAATTCCACACAGTTTTCATATTACTTCAATGAACTAGCCGGATCTCTCACATGTGCACTATACCTTGGAGTCCAGAAATTTCTGGGCAAACTCTGCGTCTTCTAAGCAGCAGTTCCCTGAGAAGTACGCCGAGATCCCCTAGGAAAAAGGCATTATTAGGTAAAACACCAAACCAAGTCAGATTGTATGATATCTTACATTTATTTTACCTTCTCACCCAGACCGAGCTGTTTCTGCTTGTCTTCTAGGGAGTAGAGGAGCTCACAGCAGTAGCCCCACAGTGTCTCCATGTCGCCAGGGCTCTGTTTAAAGGCCAGACTCTCCCACACCAGAGCCTTGAACTTCTCCTGCATATTAAAATAGGCAGAATTATCAAACACTACAACTTATATTATTACATAAAATTCTGATAGAGCACAAATGGGGCATATTAAGTAGGGTATTTGACCTTTGGTAGGTTGGGGATGAATTTGGTGTCCCCAAATGACTTGTAGTTCCCCATGTTTGCATAAAGTCCAGCAGCATATACGAGGAAGGCCTGGAAACAGACAGAATGCTGTTACGAAAAATGAACACAGAACACATGTTAGCTAACTTTGGTGTTCGTAACAGGTTGTTTCACCTGATACTCCTCTGCGCTCAGTCCAGCTGCAGTCGCCACTGCCTCCAGCTGCTGTGGTGCCTGTGCGCAGAACATTTTTTGCAACAGTACGTAGATGTTGGCAGACTCAGGAGAGGTCTGGATCAGCACGATCAGTCCACCGTACCAGGACGCCCGAGAGAGGTAGTGTGCATACATTTGCTCTTTGGGAGACAACAGCCTGCAAGCCTCCCTGCAGTCCAGAGCAGAGATCCCGATGTCATTTGGGAGGTAATACTGAGAGTCCACCATTTCAGTCTTTAGGCAGCTTGAAAATTCACAAAAACATCAGTCACTGATTAAATACCTTACTATGCAAAAGCACAAAATCACCTGGTTATTATTTGGGGATTCACATCACAGCTTCACATCTGAACTTCTCTCTACGCACACACAGCTAATACAATCCAATAGTTATACAGTAAGATGTAAAAATGCAAACACACAAAGTCAGAAGTTTGGATTTTGGCTGAAAGGTCAATCAGCACTGACAAAGAGAGTTTCTCTTTCACTTCTGGCCCTGGGACTTTACTGATCAGCTAATACTGTTAGCACACTTGATAGAGCAGGAAATCAGACAATGAAAAAAGATGCGATAATTCACTATATAATTATCTTATCATCTATAATAGCCAACGTACGGTTTCTCTTTAAGCAATATCCAAGAGATTAACAACAACACGTAACACAACTTCTACATGAATTGTGCGTTCAGGTTCACTCCTGTCAAAAAAATGAGCACCAGCGTCCGAATCTACTTCCGCTACTCATTCAATTGAATGCCCCGCCCCTCAGCCAATCAGATGACGGAAAAGATAATTGACATGCGTGAGAACCAATAGAAACAGCGGGTGAAAAGGTTTCGCGTCGTAGGGATTGCAAAAGAAATAATCGTTTTGTCAAAAGCAGTTTTAGGAGGGATTTTTTTATGGGTGTGTGTGTGTGTGTGTGTGTGTGTGTGTGTGTGTGTGTGTGTGTGTGTGTATTAATGTTGTGACTGATATAATTAATGGCATACATGTGAATGTACTGCATGTGTGTTTACCTCAAAACAGCTCCTGGTGTCACAAAAGTTGTGAAATCTGTGTTCTTATTGCCATATATAGGTTCTTCAAACTATGAAACCACATGAAACAAGAAATAAGGAGGGTATTTTAAGAAAGGAAGAATAAAGCGAGATATAAAGAAAAAGAAGACAGATATATGAGAGGATAGTAGTAAAAGGCACACAGAGAAAAAAAAAATAGATAAAAGAGAAAAAGACAGAGATGAAGAGAAAAAAAAAGACAATAAAATTACATAAAGAATATTGAGAACAAAGGTGTATGACTCATTCGAGCTTTGAAATTCCTCATTGATTAAGAACATCAGTGCTCTGTACTCACTTTTATAGGGACGGCCACCATGTATGACAAACTCCCCAGCTTTGTCTCGATAAAAGCCTTTTGAAAGATCAGAATAAGACAAGGAAAATCAGTTTCTTGTGTTCAAAGGATGGGAAAAAACTTAAATGTGCATCTTTAAAACTAACCTCAAAGGCCTCATGAAGTTTTTTCTGCAGCATCAGGGCAATTTGTCGGTCTGAAATGTTGATGAGTACAAATGTTATACTGAAATAGAGTTTAATTGCTTAACTCAAAATTGTTTATCTAACCACATAAAATATGTAATAAAAAAAATCTAAATTGATTAATTAAAAGCATGTAAAATAGAAGCTAATAATGGTCTCAGACATTTGAATCCCACTTTATTTCCAAAGATTCATGCAAAATTCACTGCAAATCAGTTCAACAGAGATTCAATTCAGCCACAGCCATAAAGGCTCTCAAGACATAAAGGGCACCCTCTTGTGGCAGCAATATGAGGTCAAGTGAAATCAAAAGCCAAGTAATATTGATTGGACTAAAAGTGAATAAAACTCACTGGTCAGATCCAGCCAAACATGTACTGATCCTCCTTCAACCACATCTCTGGAGACTCTGGGCTGCAGTGTGTGTGTGTGTGTAAAAATATTAACATATATGTTTAATATAAAAAAAGAAAGCATCGATATAGATGATTTCTGGCATTAGTGGACTGGAAGCTTAGCTAATGTTGTTGAAATGAACGTGTATTGTTTATCAGTTAAATACTTAAGTGGAATTCGTTTCCCAGCACTCTAAACTTTCTGTCAACAGGAAATTGTCTATCTGCGACCACCCAGGATCATTTATCTGTTGTGCTGTGGTGGTTTTCTGACAGTCACACTGGCAGATGAGAATAGTTGGCCATGCATACATTTAGGTGTGAAATAATGAAGTGAAACAGCCCAGCCCAAAGAGATTAAATAAACTAGAATAAAGGTTAAATCAATTTAAAAAAACAAATCAATCAGTCAGTCAATTTATCTTTTAAACCTTGAAAACTACTTCACTACATTGAGGTAAGTAACTTAATTAATGATAAATAAGTAGTAAATACTTCAAGAAATTCCATTTCTGGAATTCAATTTCTGTTCACTATTCTAATAGTATTTTATCAAAAAAACTGAGCATAACCCCCGAACATTAAAATCAGCTCAGTGTTTATTCCAGTCGTGGGAGACTGGCACACAGCTGAAGGGTGGGAATGGTAATCACTGTGGAGTCAGGGCGAGAAGGGTCTGGCTGCAGCTTGGCGCTTGCACTCTCAGAAGTGACGTCGCTAGCGGAAGTGCAAGTGTCTGAGAGTGCAAGCCTGAGAATGCACGTCTGAGAGTGCAAGCGCCAGCTGTAGCCAGACCCTTTTGGTCAGGGCATCAAGATGATCCAAGTGGCGCCAGATGAGAAGATAGTAACCTCTTGTTCGGATGTCTGAATGGGTCAAGCACCTTCTGATGAACCGTCATTGGCTGCATTATATTGGCCTCTGCTTTTCTCTTTTCTTTGTTGGCTGATAGGCATAATGCCAAATGCACAACTTTTAATCAAATGTAATATAGTATGTATAATAAATTAAAGAAAATAATATATTTTTCTGTTTATTGAGATAACGTAGATGTCCCTTAAGTAAAAGGTGAGTAAAAGGTGGTGGTGTTGTGTAAAAAAACATATAAAACAAAAATACTTGGTTAGCATAATTTACATGCATATATATTTAATAAGTAGTCTGACCAGCATGCTTTATCTCAGCTAACAAAGATGTGGTTTAGAGCAAGCCAATCACAGAAAGCAAATGTCAATAAATCACATACATGCAACAGGTCACTGGGATGGCACAATTGCCTGTATGTTCATTCTCCTTACTAGAGGAGAAGGAGAATGGAACAATTCATTTTGCACAAATTATTCCTTTTAGTTTTTTACATTAGACTGGAATTTCTTTACAGATGACCGTGATTCCACCTTGGTTCTATGCCACCCAATATTTGCTTTGACCAAAAATGGATCCGTGTATCTGCATTTCAGAGATAAAGTGAAGTGGGACCGACATGAAAATGAAGATCTCCTCTGCAGTGATACCACCTATGTAATGTATCCTTACAGATATGTTTGGGCATTGAACAATGGACTACTATTACAAACCCAGGCTCAAACATGCTTTTCAGCGATCCATGTGGAGAATGGGTAATTTTAAGGTAATGTTTCAAGCATTTCGAGGCATCAGATTTGTTCGTTTTTACATTGTACTACAATGTGTCATATTTGTTGTATTGATGGTAGTTAGATATGTTTTGAAGAATGTTAAGAGATTATTTCAAGTTTTTTTCTTCTTATTTCAATCTTTCAATATCTAATATGATCTCTACATTTATTTTTGTGCTTTGTTTGAATTACTGGATTGTGTAATTGTGTTAAAGTCTGTAGCCGAGTCTGTATTTGTATGATAGTGACAATAATCTTTATCTTAGTTAACTCAAGTTCAAGTTAACAAGGCATAAGAAAATATGATATTTTTTTATATTGCTGTAAATTAATGTAGAATGTACAATCTTTTTTAAAACTGGTAGTAGTTTTCCTGGAATCATAAGTGGCAGTTATGATTCAAAACCCAATATTTATTTACAAGATCTGAATTCTTAGAAAAGTAAAAGACCATCTTGTTTTGACAGAGGCAAACCTATTGGTGATTAATGGCCAACTGTCACATGGAACACGAGGGGAGGGTCTAAAGGCCCCTACAGAGAAAGTGGTTATAAACATGAACATGCCCAGAGATTACAGCCAGTTATCTGTGAGTATGTCAGTTGCTCATTTTTTGAACATGACCACGATGCCTGACATGAGCACATGATCGCTTTAAGTCATCTTACATTTTAAAATGACTTTAAAGCATTTGGAAACGGTTAGGGATCAACTGAGTAAAGAGTGCCATGGAAAAGCTAGAAGAAAGCAAATATTAATTGAGCAGAAGGAAAGGAGGTGAGTACAAAAACTAAACCTAGTCAATGACAGTCACATGCAGATACAAAGGTTTTTGTGCAAAACAAATATTGAATGTAGACAAACTATGCATTCAGAGTCTATCAATGTTTGAAATATCATTTATTGATCCCAAGCTGCATTTACAATTCATTTTTAATGATTTTTAAATAGTGCCAATGAATTCATGAGAACTATTCTGAGGATTTGGGACAAAACAAACATACTAAAACAAATTATATTTCATTTTTAACAAATTTTAATTAGAAGAAAAACATAAAATGCTGAAATTGGGAAGGAAATGGGTATTTTAAAATAATTAAATGTAGTTATTGTCATTCTGGTGGCATGCAAAATCATTGCTATAATGTCTTTTACATAGTGTGTTTGCAAATTACTAAAATATTCAGATAATTCCCAAACAGCAAATCGGCCATTTGCAAAAAGGCACTATGAAACGGTTATAAAGAAATTTTGACAATTATTTGCATACCACCAGATAGTCCATAACTTTATTTAATTCACCAAAAACTAAAGCTAGTCAATGGGAAATGCAAATATTTTTGTACAAAACAAATATTGTGAGTAGACCCTTTATACATCCTGAGTCTGCTATGTGGAAAGATATAGCAAATAACTGAATGAATAAGACATTGTTTGAAATATCATTCATTGCTTATTACACTGAAGCTGAATTAACAATGAATGATTTTTGCGAATAGTGCCAGTACATTCTTCAGAACTAACCTGTGAAACTGGGACCAAATGCACATATTAAAACTATTTCAATTTTGTTTTTAACTAATTTTTCTGATTTTAATCGGTAGACAACAATTGTTAAAAAGGAAGGGAAACAAGCATTATAAGTCAAATATATAGAAATCCCTCTGTTAGTGTGCCTTTTTCATAGTGGCTTTTTGCAAATGTGTAAAATATTCAGCTAATACTCAAACAACAAACCAGCAATTTGCAAAAAGGCATGCAAAAGTAATGATACAGAGGAATTTTGACAATTATTTGCATGCCACCAGTCCATAAATATATTTACCTAAAAGTGCGTATTTACCTAAAAGTCCCTTCCATTTTAAGCAAATTTGTTACTCTTGTTAAAAATAAATAAAGTATAAAATAATGGATTTATGTTGCAAAAATCAACAATTGGCAAAATTTCAAAGTGAGTGCAAAAAGCATGTAAATGCACGTGGGAATGCATTCTCAGAAGACATGACATTATATCAGAAACTGCAGGCACCTACGCTTGGTACACTCTAAAAAATGTTGGGTTGTTTCAACCCAATTTTGGGTCAAATATGGACTAACCCAACTGTTGGGTTAAATTTTGGTTACATTTTTTAATTAACTTTTTAACCCAACAGTTTGGTTAGTCCATATTTGACCCAAAATTGGGTTGAAACAACCCAGCATTTTTTAGAGTGTAGTGATAAGACAAAATGACGCAGTCATGACGTCTCTTTTTCCATCAGTACTGGTGCTGCCCTCTGTCTTCAGGGTACATGGTGGCTTTAGAATGTTCCGTTCTCTGATGCTAATAGAGAGTCAGGACAATGGCAGCATGTTCATACAACCAAAACAATGTCATTTAAAATGTTTGCATGCTTATGGTAAAACTAAACCTAGTCCATGAAACATTTAAATGCAAATGCTTTTGAACAAAATGAATATTGCATGTAAATGTACTATCCATTCTGAGTCTGTCATTCTGAAAGATGTAGCAAAGAACTAATGCAGCAAAACAACTTCATTTAAATTGCTTATGTTTTGTGGTTATTCAAATTCTCAAACTTTAAATACAGGGTCTGCACAGAATGGAGAAAAGCGCATTCTCGTTTGGCGGCACGGAGCAGGAGGAGGAAGGAGAGTCAACTGTTCAAGGAGTTAACTGCTCTTCTGCCTCTGGACCCGAGTATGGATGGCCAGCTCGACAAAGCGTCAGTCATACATCTCACAATCGCTTAATTGCACCTGAGGGATCTTATGAACACCATAGACTCCTATGCACTGTCCATGATGACACAGTCCTCTCCTCCTTCACCAGGTAGAAAGAAAAGGGGTTGAAAGAAAGCAAGTTTTCTAAAGGTCGTTGTGATTGTAGGAGTATCGTCTAAATGTCATGAGAGGGAGTTGCTAGATTCTGCCCTCGGAGGGTTTGTGGTTTTGTTGTCTTTGAATGGCAAGGTCATCTTCACCACTAAGGGCGTAACTGCACACACTGGAATTAACCAGGTGATGACACTAAAACGAAATGAATTGCCTGTACTTGGAATCACTTTACTGGCACCTTTAGGAAATCTCGTATGTTTCACTTCCAGATGGATTTGATCGGGAGGAGTTTGTTTGAGTTCTTGCATCCATGTGATCAGATGGAGGTCAAAGACATTCTCACGAGACTGATCGGTGAGCACCTCTTGCTAAAAAGATCAGTTCGACCCTAAGTTTCCATGCTCGTCCAGGCTGGTTTATGATCTGATTGGCTTCTAATATTTCAGGAAACCGAGAACAGCAAGATTGTGAAGTGATCCTCAGAATAAAAAGTGTGATGAACCAGAAGCTGACTCCTTGGAAAGTAAGAATGCATTTGTGCCTTCCCA